TCTCTCTCTCACACACACACACACACACACACACACACACACACACAGAGTGTCCACCTTTATTTCCAATCTCCCCCGTCCTGATCACTTGTCCCCTGCAGCTCTGATTTGTAATCTGGTACTCCTGGTCCTGCTAATTCCCTCGTTTACTCTCCCAAGGTCCAACTAATTCACCTCCTCAGGGCCTATACAAGCCCTGACCCCAATCTCTCATCTCTTCTTGCTTCTGCCATTTACTCTGTCCAGCAGGACTTCCAAGAATGCAGGGAGTGACCCAGAGAATCGGAGAGGATGCTGACAATCAGCATTCAGGGCATCTACCAGCTTCTATTACTGGAAGCACTTGGAAAGCAGAAGAGAAATGGCTTTCTGAGGCCCTTAACAAGATCCGCTCTCGACCACCTGCTGCTCCTTGCTGATCCAGGCCGCCTAGCTGCCCAAACACACCGAATTTCATGAAGTGACGAGAGTGGCAGTGACAGACCAGGGCCTCCCAGTCAGACACCCTTCCCAATCACGCACATCCTCCTAGGGCAAGAGGGGAGCTTGACGGAGATACAAACCCCAGGAAACACACCTCTGAGGGCACCTCACACAACGTCGCCCTGCCTTTGCCCGACTCCTGACATCCCCCTCACATTGGGCAGTGCTCATCCTCAGGGGGTCCCCAAATCCCTACTTGCAGAACCGTCCGGGGCTGTCGTTCACTGTGGAGCGTCAGGCCAGCATCCTCTAAAGACCTGCACAGGTCAAACAGCCTGAGAGTTTGTTCGGCTTCCCCCTCAACGCCCCAAAACAGTTTCTAACACAAGATTTCAATACAGCCCCAGGGTGGCCGAATGCCTGTTCCTCTCAGTACTACACACACCCCTCTCCCGCCCAGCAGGTTCCCAGAAGGTCATGAGTTAGAAGGTCTCCTAATTCTCCTAATTCACCTAATTCACCATCAACTCTGCAGGAAATCTGGCCCCTCCCCCCTTTTCTGCTCTACACCAGATAGTTTCACTTTTATCTATTTATTTATTTAGGTTTGTTAGTTATTGTTTACCTAACTCATGCCTCCACCCTACAAAGAGCAGACTGCCTTCCTTTTAACTAGCTATCACTTACCTCAGTATCCCTGATAAGAAAGAAAGAAGGAAAGAAAGAGATAGACACACAGAGACAGAGAGAGAAGGGGGGAGAGAGAGAGAGTGAGAAAGTGAGAGAGAGAGAGAGAGAGAGAGAGAAGTAAAACAAAATAGAAAAGAAAAAAATCATTCCTCCCAGCAAATCAGACTGGTCTAAAATCTCTTCCTTCTCAGGGTATTCATGTTAGGAGACTATTCCAGCCCATCCCCAGGAGCCTTTGAGGGAGAAGCCTTTGCAGGGGAACCCCCCTCCCTCTTTGACACCGCTCGACTGATAGGATGCTGCCGACCCCCTAACCCCCGATCCCGGCGACCCCAAACAACGGCCAGGCATCCCGCCCCTCCTCCGCTCCTCCTCCTCCTCTCAGCCCGCCTCCCCCCACAACAAGGCTGTTTTCGTCTCTCAGGGCTCCTGCCCGCTACTGTGCTAGGGTGGTACCTGAGCCTGTCTGAGAGAGGAAGAGAGACAGAGGGAGACATCGAGACACAGGGAACCAGAAAGGCCCACGCCGGGAGAGACTCTCCGCGCACGCCATTTATGCAGCTCTGGTGCGCGGCTCCAGCGCTCTGGAAAGGCACGCAAAGCCCACCGCGGGGA